AGGCACATCGCCAACACCATGGATCCATTCACGGCCTAACAAAAGATTGTAGTTAGGTTTGGCCGATATGACCATGAACATCGTTGGTCGAAGGATCGACCCTACTTTGATGTCTAGCTGGATCACTCCCATGGTGGTCCCTATGCCGCCCTCATAGTTCGACAAGACCATGTTGTGAGGCTTAATTTCCTCATCCCTTTTGCCAATTTTCCTTAGCATAGAGTGAGGGATAATATTGATGGTTGCCCCACAATCGACCAATATTTTATTCACAGTAGTTTCTTCGAGTTTAGCCCTTATGAATAAAGGCTTGAGGTGATTTTTCATCGCCTCTGTAGGTGGCTCGAAGAAGCCATTTTGTTCCTCAGTGGTGCCATTGTCCATGACAAAATAGCACACTGGCCTATGTTTGGCCATTTCTTGCTCCACTTCCCAGTCACTTGCTTCGACTTCTACCTGTCGATTGAATTCTCTGGGCAGCACTGAAACGATATTCACCATTATGTCCAAAGTATCGTCGGACTCAGCATCGTCTTCGTCTTCGACTTCACTTTGGTTAGGCCAAACTAGCCTGTTGGTTACTGGCTCTCTCTCTAGAGGCTTCCTTTGTTTCCTTTGAGGAACATTCGAACTCGTTTCTGCCTTAGGTTCGTTGGCAGCCTCCCTTTCTGCTTTTCGTCTCCTTTGATATCTCCTCCATTGAGATCGAGACATAGGATTTTTACCCTTGTAGTTGCTGGACACTTGTGCAACCTTAGGTGCAGCAACTTGAGGTTCTTTCTTTTGAGTCAAAGAGGAACCTCTTGGCACATCGAAGGAATGCCATTTCTCCTCACTTGGCCTTTTCCGGCCAGAGGTTTTGTACCAAGTATCTACTGGCACATTTGTTGGAGGCCTAAAAGTCAATGGCCTCTTGTCTTGGTTAGAACCCCTTCTGGGGTCATGTCGAAGGTCAACATTCTCCCTTCTCTTATTCGCTGCTTTTACGCCTTGAATGTGCTCAGCAGCTTTTTTATCAAAGATCGAACTGCATCTTGGACACAGCATCACCTCTGATTTCTTTTTCTGGCATCTTTGTAGAAAATCTGCCAAGTTTTCGTTTTCCCGAGGGAAAGCAGTCTTATTAGCTTGCTCTTGCCTTATGGCCTCTTCTGATGCTTTTGGGTCAGAAAGTTCAACCATGTTGATATTCATTGTATCTTTGTTAGCAAGAGTTAACTGCTTCATTTGTATCTCCAGATTCTCCGTCTGGCCTTGAACAGTGGCCAAGTGGGAACTGGGTTTTGATCCAGTTTTTTGTGCTTCAGCAGTCTCCGACTTCGGGTTCTCGACCGCTTTCTGGACAGCTTCAATTGTCTTCCTGGATAAATTTCCAGAAAAACTGCCAAAGATTGGCATGTTGATATGGTCCTTTGAGACTTCGACCATGGTAATTCCTGGCTTCTTCGACTGGATCCTGGTTGCCTCTATCATGTTCACCTCAGAGGGTTCAGCATAGTGGGCTTCAGCCTTCAGTGGATTGGAGTCGACAGCCATGGGGGATTTGTCAGCAAACTTCAATCTCCCTTCTTCAATAGCGTCTTGCACAAGATTCCTGAAAAGAAAACATTGAGAAGTTTTATGGCCCAAAAAATTATGATATTTGCAAAAACCTCTCTTCTTTCTTTGATCAAGAGGAGGCACTTTTACCCCTGGGTACTATCATTTGGCCATCTTTAACTAGCAAGTCGAATATTTCATCACATTTTGTGATGTCAAAACTATAAGTCTTTTTTGGGAACCTATCGTTGGTCCTTTCTGGACCAATGGGATTTTTCCCATTTGAGGGGACTAACAGTTTACAAGAGTATGGTGGCCCTTGTTTTAGTTCTGCTAAATCGACTTCTCCTTCTTCGACAGTTAAAGTATCGTCGAAGGATTCTAGATCTTCGTCATCCATCTCAACGTACGCTATCCTCTCTCTCTTGTGAGTTTTCGTTGCCTTAGCCTTTTCAGCTTTGAGGCGTTCGACCTGTCGAACTCTATCGGCCAGTTGGGCCATGTCTCTTAGGTACTGGGTGTCTAGCTTCTTCCTAATGGAATAATCTAAACCGCCTGCGGCTATTTCGACCAACTCATGTTCTGGCACTTGTGTAAAACATCTCGCCTTGAGCAACCTAAACCTATTCAGATATTCGTCTATAGGTTCAGTGAAACGTCTCTTCACACTGGCCAGTTCTTTCAGGCTTATCTTGGTTTGCCCCATGTAGAATTGTTCATGGAACAATCTTTCCAACTGGGTCCAATGATGGATCGAATTGGGGGGGAGAGTTGTAAACCAAGTAAAAGCGTTCTTGGTCAAAGAACTTGGGAAGTACTTGATCCTTAGGTTTTCGTTATTCGAAATATCTCCTGCTTCGATCAAATATCTCGCCACATGCTCGACAGTAGATTCTGTCGTGTCCCCAGAGAACTTGGTAAATTTGGGGACTTTGCATCTAGGAGGTAAGTCCGTTTGTAACACATATTCTGACAATGGAGATGTAAAGTTGGGCCTTCGAAAGCCCATGTTCATCCCATTCTGAGTCATGATCCTTTCAATCATGGTTGCCAGATTGTTTTCCAAACCCATGTTTTGGTATTGGATATGCTGAACCACTTCGTCAGCATTTTGGTTTCTGTTAACTAACCTTACCTCTGGGGTTATTACCCTAGGTTCCTCGACAGGTTGTTCCAATCGTGCCCTAAGGTTTTCTTCGACAGGCTGTTGAGCCTGGTTAATGGTGGTTTCTTCCTCTACAAATATCCCCTGGTTCCCCCTTATTTGCGCCCTTTGAGGCTGTCGAACAGGTGGGGGTACTCCAAAGAAATCAGCCAAGCGCGTCATTTGCGCTGTCACTTGCTGATTCGATTGAGTGGTGTTTTGTATTAGAGGGTTTAGCACTGTACTCAAAGTTTGTGCCAACATTTGCACCATATCATGGTTGCTTTCGTCCATTTGTTGCCTCAAGACTGCTGTCGAGGCATTTGTAAGGCCATGGGCTACTTGGGACGTTCCTCCTAAGAGTTGGGTCCTATTTCTATTCCCCATGCCTACTCCAGAGCCTTGGAGTGGCGAAGAGGCACTCACAAAAGGGTCTGAAAAAGTGGACGCAGCATTCGTCAGGCTTGCCACTTCAGAAGTTGGCATACCATAGAGTGGAATGAATCCTGGGGGAACGAAAGGCCTTGTGCCTAAATTTCCCCTTGGTGGGGGAGTTCCCAAAGGCATCCTGGGGCCTGTTAACGAAGTTATTGGCCCCGTGGTTGTGACCGATACTGCTGGTGTCGAACCAACATTTGTCGCTTCACTTACGGTCATATTAACCGTTGCTCCCACACTCGTTTGCGGGATTTCGTTAGTGTTTGGCGGATTCGCCATCTCTTCCCTTCTTCTGGCAGTATTGTTATCGTTAGTGTATATTCTACCACTTCTCAATAACATACAACTCGAAAAGATGAGATTATTTTCAACAATCAACACACAGTCCCACCGGGTGTGCCAATTTGTTTACCTTGGGTTTTAGTAAACAACCGCTGATCCTCTAAATGGTTACTTATTTGGTTACTCGCAGGATCGATCAGATTGATCCTAGGACATAGGTTGATTTTGAAGTTTGATTAAGTTGGATAAGGCTTTAAATAAATTGGCTTTAAATGAATTGCATAAAGGAAAGACTTGGTAAAATAAACAAGGCTTTAAAGTAAAAGGTTCGACAAGAATGTAAAGAGGAAAGCAAGTAAATTTCTGGAAAAGTAAATGACTTTAATTGATAAAATTGGTGTTTCACACATACATTTCTCAACAATTCTTTCTCACACGCTGGGTACTCGAATCTATATGAGTGACTTTGTATAGAATTGTGAACACACGCGAGAAACTACATGTCTACTCCTATTTATACTAAAACATCCCAAGTAACCGTCAGGCAGTTACACTGCTTCGAGATCAATCCACTTGGCACGTTCTCCATGCTCGACGCTCCAGATCCTTGCACGTTTGCACGTGGTAACTGCTGGAAACCGTTTTCCCTCCAAAAGCTTGAATTTCAAAACTGCTCCACTCTGGACCATCGAACACTTTCGTCAAGAGACATCTTCGACGAGAAACTCCTTCGACGTCGAAGGCAACCAGCCTTCTTCCTTGGAAGAAATCTTCTAAGTACTTTGCCATCTTTCGACGGGTACTTCGACAGACTTAGCCAGTCGAAAGCATCTTTCAGCTTTTAATGGTTGACATTGATAAAACAAGAGTGTCGAATTTAGGAGCCAACACCACATCACTCACCTAGACATTCTTCTGAGCATACACCCTCACCCAAACCTGACATGTTTCAGCCCATAGAAACTATCATGTCTTCCCTAAACCAACCTCTGACTCTGGTTCTAATGAGTTAGACTCCCAAACCATCAACCAGATTCTAAAAACCTCCATTCCTCAAGAAAATACCCATAGACCATCTTTCATAGATGAATTATCAAAAAACATAGTTGGTGAGTTCACTTTAGATAATCAGTTTGAACAAAAACCAACTAGTGTGTATCCCAGAATCTGAACAACCCATTTCCATAAACATCATTACTATTACTAATCAGATAATGGAAACCATACCAGCAGATTAACCTCTAGCCCTAAATCAACATCAACCTCAAGCTCCGATTCTGATGAATCATATTTTATGCCTATAGAAGTCACGCCACTTTAAGCCATACAAGACTAAACTAAATCTGCACCTAAACAAACCATACCAGAACCCCAACTTGAATCACAATCTCTTGACCAACAAATCTCTCAACATATACACTATAATCACCATTTTACCCCTTCAAGAGAACTAGATGTTATGTAGGATCTTGCATAATAGTTTTATCCTTCTCTGAAGGAAGAATCCAACTTGTTTCTTCACCACCTCAACCAACTCATAATCTCAACCTTCCACCTCATATCCAAGCCCAAATGAAAGAATTTAGGATTGTTATCTATGACAAAATTCAAGATCTGGTTTTTCAGAGACTCACAACATTTGATTCCATCCATTGAACATGCTGCTAAGTGGAACGCTATTAGAACCTATGTGGATATAGCTCTAAAAAATCTGAATACTTTCCCTTCTAAGTATGTAGCTTCTTCAAGCCAAAAGCAAGAGCAATTTGAGGCAAAACTGGCTTCGATAGTTGCTAATCAAGAGGTTATGGGAGCTCAGCTTCAATCTGTGGTTGCTAATCAAGGCTCACTAATTAAAAAGCAAGAGAAATGGATGCTTAGTTAAAGTGTGTGGTTGCAAGGCAGAATGATATGGGATTTTACATCAAAACCATCCTAGAGATTCTAAATAAACCCTAGGATTTAGGACTTAGCACCTTATGTTGTTTTTTTAATGTTGACTTATTTTGAATTTTTTGCATTCTGACAATCATTTTCTTTGGTTTAATGATATTTTTCTCCAATATATTTTCTTGTTTCCTTTTTGTTTTTGTTGATGACAAAAGGGGGAGTAAGGTGAATAAGTATTTAAGCATCTGAGTCTGATAGTTAAGAACTAATTCTTGCTTAAATTTTGAAGAATAATTTATTGTGCTTTAAAGATCAAATTTAATTAACATGGATAAAATTTAAACGGAGCTTACAAAGCTCACTTTTTAGACTATTAGACAGTTGGGATACAACACATAATTCCTCTTATAGCAAAGGGAATTCAAATGTATTTTCAACGAAATTAACCATATCAAGAAATATTCTAATGTCTATGATCAAGCTTTTCCAAGACTCACTTGTGAAAGCTCTTTTCTTTAATGACTATTTTTTGTATTTCTGTATAAGGATCCGAAGACTTAAAGAAATAAAAAACCAATCCTTGACAATAAAAAAAGATGTTACTATGTAAAATAAAAAACACAAGTTTAACTTATAAATTCTTATCATTTGTATATCTTGGAAATTCATAAGTCTTAAAAGTCTTTTTGAGTTGTATTCTGTTTACACCCCTGATTATATATCAAGTGTAATATTCAAACAATATTTTATTTGAGTGATATAGATTGTTAGAAGTATATTGCTTATGTTCTTGAGCATTAGAAGTATCTTTCTTGTGTGCTTGAGCATTATAAGTCTCTTACTCGTGTGCTTGAGCATTAGAAGTCTCTTGTTTGTGTTCTTGGGAAATTATAATTAGTAGTGATTATAGTGAAGTCCATTGGAATTGCAAGAGGATTGGACTACTCTCGTTTGTGGGAGGAACCAATATAAAATTGATTGTGTCTCTCTTTCTTTCACTCTCTCTCGGAACCTGTTTTTATCCGCTGCTAACACTTGCCTCTGTACCAGATTCTAGACTTTAAGTTTAGAATCTGATAATTTTTTTTTACAAAAGAAAGAAAAAGCTAACACAATTCAACCCCTTTCTTGTGTTTTTCTCACCTTCATCGACTTCCTACATGATCTCACACCTCACGTGAATGGGTCCCTTAAACTGCCCAAAAACCACCGTACAGGGCTACTCGCCATAGTGAGCAAGCCTTCACCATCTAAATGTGTAATATACCTACTAGGGCCTCTAAGTCTCTTCGACCTTACAGGGAGACACACATATCTTCTACTTTTTTACTAGTACAATGGCACCTACCGTGGGACCCAGTAAAACTAACCTGAGCCTCACCCTTTTTTAACAACCATTACCTTCTTTGTCGTACCCTTAACTCCTACACCTAACATTATCAGACATGGTGGACATAAAAGCTCCATCCCTTACTCCCGAGGGTACCTGCAGTACAAGTCATGTCGATGATATGGAAGAGATGTGATTTGTCATGGATGAATTACCATGCCATGATTGAATGTTGAAAGACAACGTCCAAAACATCACACAACATCAATAAGAGGTCAACCCCACAGAAGAGGTGGAACTGCTGGATCCCTAGCCACTCTTGAACGAAATATGGGGGGCCACTATCCCCAAAGGTTTCAAACCTCCATCCTTGGCCAAGTTTTATGGACACACCGATCCCTACAAATATGCCGCCTCCATCAACGTGCAGATGACCATCATAGGAGCACTATACTCTCTAAAATGCAAGTTGCTATCATGAACCCTCAAGGAATCTTCCCTCAGCTGGTACGTTGCTCATGTTTACTCTCCAAACTCTTTTATGATTATGATTATTATTATTATTATTATTAATATAATACTCGTTAGATTAATACTTTTTCTTAACACTTGCTACTAATTTTACTATGTATACTTGCACATACAAAGTAACCATCAAGTTTTTGACAACATTGTTAGGGATTATGTCATTTACATTTTTTTATTCATTAAGTTTGTAAAAATTAAATTTGGGCATTTAATACTTTTATGTCTTTTGGTGATACGATAGATGTGTGAGAATATTGCATGTGTATGTTGATCTTAAAGAGAAGACTCAGACCCATAAAAAAATTCCAAACTCTTAAGATGATTTCATGTTACTAACCACGTGCTTGGAACCCCCGTTATTGCTCTCTATTTTTGAGAAAGTTGAGATTGAGCTTGAATATTGTAAAAAAAAGGAAGATTGAGCCAGAAATACCAGAGACTATGATATCTTTAACCCCAATTCTATGAACACTGGTATCATAAGGTCAAATATCACTATAGCACAATTTAAGTTCAAGCTCGTGATGTTTTAGATGCTGCAAGCTATTGGACAATACTCAGGTGTTGTGACCGATATGCTTATATGCACTTAAAGTAATTTATTAAAGTAGAAAGTCACTTTAAGATTCATGGGATAATTGATGATGCTTTTAGGCTTATATTTTTTCTATATTATCTAAGGGATAAAGTTAAGAGTTGGTTAAATTTCTTAGAAATAAATTCTCTAGCCACATGTAATGATTTGATTGAGAAAATTTATAGCCAATTACTTTCCACTTGTGAAAAATGAAAAATCAAGGAATGGAAGCACTTCATTCAAACAAGGAGAGGATGACTCATTATTTGATGCTTGAGAAAAGATTTAAGCTACTGCTGAGACAATGTAAACATCATGGAATTCTAATTTACATACAATTGGAAATTTTTTACAATGGTCTTGTACCATCTTCAATAAATAAGTTGGACATGTCATATGGTGGAGCCTTATTATCCAAGTCATACACTAACGAATATGATCTGATTTAAAGTATGGTGGAGCCTTATTAACTAGTTGAAATCCATTCTAAAAACATTTATGCAAGAGACAAAGTTTTTGCTAATGAAGCGAAAAATAAAATACAAGCTTAAAGGGTAGTAAAATTTTTTATAAATTTTCACCATAGCTTGTGGCATTGGATATACACTTTGTGGAAGAGATTTGTGTTACTTGGGGGGAAACATTAATATCATGTCATTGTCCAAATTCAACTAGCTTGGAATTGGAGTTGCATGACCTACTATTGTAATACTTCAACTAGCTGATCAAAGCATCTGTTATCCTTAATGAAAGATTATGGATGTATTGGTAAGCATTGATAAGTTTGTACTCCTTATTGATTTTATCATTATGAATTTTACTTTTGATGAAGGCACTCCAATTCTATTGGAAAAACCTTTCCTTTCTACGAGAAAAACTATTATTGATGTAGAAAAATGAAAGTTAACTATGAGAGTCAATGGTCAACATGTGGTGTTTAATGTTCTTAATGCCATAAAGTAATTTGAAGAAGATCTTGGTAATTGTTCTTTGATTTCTAGTTGGGACTCCTTAGTCCACAACCAATTTGTCTAGGATAATGATGAATTAAGAAAAGAATTTTGAGTCTTAGATGAAGATGAATTAAACATGTAAGGTATCATGAAATGAACACCACCAAAGCTACCCAATGCAATTTGGCTATGTAAATTTGAAACATTGAAAATATTTACCAAGATGGAAAAGGATAATGTACCATGTGTGGTAAAATATCTTGTTTTGGAACTAAAGCAATGCCCCATATTTGTAGTATGCATACCTAGAGGCAGGACATACGTTATCCATCATCATCTCAAATGACCTGGAACTTGAACATAAGATCATACTTCTTCCACTTATGTAAAAGTATACGAAGGCCATTTCTTGGAAAATGACTGATATTAAAGGAATCAAACCCACTATTCGCATGCATATAATTTTATAGGAGGAGAATGCAAAGAATAACATAGAAAGTCAAAGAAGATTGAACCCAATTACAAAGAAAGTGGTGAAAATGAGGTCATAAAATGGTTGGATGATAATGGTGATTTTCCCCATCTATGACAGAGTCTAGGTAAACCCATTTTAGTGTGCTCCAAATAAGGGTGGCATGAATGTTGTCGAGAATGACAAGAACAAGCATATATCTACAAGATTTGTTACTAGATGGAGAATCTACATGGATTACATGAAATTAAAAAAGTCCACAAGGAAATATCACTTCTCATACCCTTCATTGATCAAATGTTTGATATGTTGGCTGAGAAAGAATAATATTGTTTCTTTGATGGTTACTCATGTTATAACCAGATTGTCATTGCACGTAAGGATCAAGAGAAGATTACTTTTATATGTACTTATGGAAACTTTTCCTTTAGAAGGATGCAATTAGGAGTTATGTCTATATAATTCTCTTGCTACATTTCAAAGGTTCATGAAGACACTTTTTTCATATCTCGTAAAGTCTTAAATGGGCGACTTTTCTGTTTTTTTGGGAGTCTTTTCAAAGATGCTTGGATAATTTTAGAGTTAGTGCTTAAAAGATGCAAAAAATAAATTTGAGTTTGATTTGGGAGAAGTACCATTTCATGGTAAAAGCAAGGATTTTCTTTGACATCATATTTTAAAAATGGAAAAATATCCATTTTAGCCCCTTAATTATACCCTTGGGTTCAGATTGGTCCCTTAATTTTTTTCGTGTCACCTTGGTCTTTTAACTTTTAAATAGAGGCATATGAGTCATTTATGTCTACTCCGTTAGTCAATGTCTGTTAAAAATCTATGTAGCAGTGATAGGGGGATTTGACCAACTCTTGTGATGGAGTTAGCGTTGGAAAACATGAGACTAAAAATTATTTCTAAATTTTTAAGTTTTGTTCTTAGTCATCTTCCTAAAATTCACCAACTTTCCCAAATCCAAAACCCACAACCCAAAAAAAATGAGCGTTGGAAAAACATTGTTAGTTACAATAGTAATAGGATGATGATCTGGAGAAGTAGAAGATGTAAAAGCAATGGCTTGGTGATTAATATTTTGGATTATTGAAGATGAAGAAGATGGGTTATAATTATTATTAAGAGG